TGATGTGCAAAATCTCTCAGAGTCTCAAAGTTCCAACTATATATGAGATCCAATATTGGAAAGAACGCTTTTGAATACCACGATCAATCCCAGTAGTCATGCTACAACTATTCAGAGACGTAGTGACATTGGGTTCTTAATCAGAGGTCAACATCAGTTTTTTTTGCTAGGTAGTCAAAGTTGGGGAGAAATAGCTTGGTGACCGTTGACACACCACTGGTAACCATGTTCCATCAAGGTTCCCCATGCAGCTGCAGTCCCCCAAAAGGGGAACTGGCACGCGGACGGGTCACAAAAGGCTATGGCTGCGTGACAATACCGTCGTCGACCCCAAAAGTGAGTCTGAATTCGTCGGTGAATTCAGCAAAGATATCTGGGCGATGAGAGAGGCGCAGTTTCGAAGAGCAGCATCATCCAAACACCGTGGAGAACATGTATCCAAACACGTTTGTGAAATTCTGGACCCCTGAAAGCCCATGATTCCTCAGCTCTCTCCGGCTTAAACCGGAGACCACAACGGACCAGCAAGATTGTGCGGTTGGGAGCATTTGGAAAACCTTGTTGAAGATACCCAGAATTTGAAGAATCACCTGAAACACGGTGACTCAGGCAGGGTTGTTTGGTTGGTCATGGCTCCACTTGTCTTGTGCAATTACTTTCCATCCCTATTCAGGTTGATTGGCCCCGCGAAGATATTCATATATATATATATTATATATATATATTATATATATATATATTCATATATTTTGGGATGTGGTTGAAACCACCACCGCCACCACCAGCACCACCATCGCTATCACCATCATTTCTCCCATCTCTGGATTTTATCGGATTTTATCATGATACAGATGACTCCAAGGAAAATGTAAGTTCATTTTATTTCATTACATTGCTGCACTTCCAAATTTGTTTCTGCATTGTCTAGGCCTATATTGAAACAATAACTTTCCTCTCACAATACGTGGTAACCCCAAAAAGAAGAATCCCACTAAATATAGTTATACATCCTACTTGTTCTACTTTTTTTGAATTTTACAAAGAAAACAGTTTGAATTGAAGCTCTCAGGGCCTGGAATAGATGCATTGCATGCAGACTCTCAGCAGATAGTTCACAAGTGGAGTGCTCTGCGCCACAAAAGGCTCCCAGGTGGGGAACCCAGCCGAGAGGTGGGAATACCCCACTTTATGGCAATCTGATTTTGAACATGATAGATTGCCATAAATCTATCACACTATTTACACCAGAATATGATGCAATCATTCTTCACAACTGACAACGACACCTATTTATGGCCTGATGATAAAGAATCTGATTTTGGTGTACCCTATTACAAACCTAGCTAGATAGAGAAATATATGTTGATTGGCGGTTGCATCCCTCATTCCTCCAAGCAATACTATCGTGAGGACAGCATTGCCTAGGGGTTTTGAAACCTAGCATTTGGAATTGTGGTTGTAACTGTATAATTGAAGGTCTTTTCTGCTGAGGACGCTAGGCAGGAAAGAAGGTGGGAGGATTAGGATGGGAAATAAAAGCATGATGACAATGATGATGAACATAATAAAATAACAAGGAGAAGAAGGGCAAGAGGGACGAACACGAAGAGCAACATGATGACGACGACGATCGTGACGACGGTGATGACGGTAATGACGGTGATGATGGTGATGATGGTGATGATGACGATGATGATGATGATGATTATGCTGACGATGATGAATCTGATTGTTAGTATGATCTTGATTAGCATGATGAACAATGATGAATTTGATGCATATCAAAAACATGATGCACATGATGCGTATGAGGATTATGATACACTAGATGAATACACAAATAATACACATGATTAGTATGATAAATATAGATAGATATATTGTATTATAATATCATCATTTGATTATTAAATTATGATCCCATGTGTATTTTATTATTGCTGCTTTGAAAACCACAGCATAGGCCGTATCACGAGCATCCTGGAGTCTCACATTCATAGGCTTGCAGCATCCTGGTGAAATCCCACCATTATCCTCTTCATCATCGCTGCGTGCACGCTGCCTTAGCCCAAATTTTCCAAGAAAACACAAATCACCAGATGAAACTGACACAGGTGGAGACTGATTGAGAAACCCAAAGCAATGAAAAAAAATAATTTGATTTCAAATTTGTGAAACTCAGTGAAACCAAAGGCACAGCTGGAGACACCTCTAAAGAGCAACGCTGGCACTGGTCTACTTGATGAATCGAAACATTAGCAGGACAATTCAAAGGTCTATTGGATGATAACGAAACCACAATCCAAACCGAAACAACTTGACACCCAGGGAGAAACTGAGACGGCCCTATTCCTTGGGTTCTCCCATCACGGGATTCCCATACATGCTGGAAAAATATCACATCCCTCCCTAAGAACCATTCTAAACCAGCTATAGTAACTTCATGTAACTTCATGTTCAAAGATGTTTGAGAATCGTTCACAACCCCATCCTGTTTTTTTTGCAACAGAAATGGACATAAATGTTCCAATTGTATAGTCACATCCGGAGTCACTGCAGGGGCCTCGCAGGGCCCACGTCCTCGGCCGCGTTTTAGCTCGCCGTTGGATGGGCGCGAGCGATGGCCTACGCAGGAACGACTCAGCAGCATTGAACAGCGATGAAAATTCGAAAGATTGGAGTTTATTATATGTTGGAATCAGCATCATAGTCATAAGAATCAGAATAATATTATATAGAATAACCAGCGTAATCAGAATGACAATAATGATGATTACAGTATATTGTAATTATATATAGTTCTTGTTTTAAATACTATACGTCTTAGTAGTTAAGTGGTTTGTAAGTCTGACTGTGACCGAGCTAGTAAACCACAACTCGAACCATCCTCCAAATGGTTTTTGGAGTTGCGTTTTTGGTGGCATCCTTCAGAATTGCTGATTGCTGGTTTGTGAATGATAGTCCAATTTACCCACAGGTGTGTAGAGTATACCGGAATTCGTCAAACATGGGGCCACCAAGCTCATGTACTTCTGAACCAAACCCTTCATTTTTGTGGAGGTTGACTAAATCTCGAGCCATGCCCACATTGAAATTGATGTTGATGTCATATGAATGCCCAAGTGCTTAGAAATGATTCTGTCAACGCCTGCTTATATGTATGTCAATATATCAGAGTATCCGCATTGTTTGCTGGTCCTGTCCTACCGTTTTTAATTTACAGAGATGTCGGACGGCTAAGCGCCGAAGATGATAGCTACTCTTGCGCGAAATCTGGGTTCAACCTTTCAATGTCATGGTTTATTTGTACCCCGACTGTACAATTGGCCCCGAACAAATCAATGAACATGTAGAACATGTGCTGGAGGCGCACATGATTGAATAAATGGCTTAGGCAATCCAGAACGAACTAAAACAATAGCAACGAGGTCAATTGTATACATAGAAACAGATATACTATGATATACTCATTTTTTATTTAAAATCATAATCATAATTATAGTACTAATATATTTTAGAGATAAAAATAAATTGTATCCAAATTTATTTTCAGCTTGGCATAACTTTGGCATTTTTCCATTTTTTCCGTAGAAACACCGCAGGCTACGCATGACGCTGCGTGGAAGTCCCGACGTCCGAGAGCTGGAATCGCTGGCGAACGAGGTGATCCTCCCTGAAGCCAGAAATGGGGTGTTTATTTAATCGTGATGTTAATTGCATTGTAATGAATTTTAGGGAATTTTAGGGAATTTTACGGAATTTCAGGGAATTTTAGGGAATTTGAGGTGATTTTAAAGAATTTTAGTGAATTTTTAAGGAATTTTAGGTGGTTTAACAATCAACACCTGGGATTTCATTGAATTTTAGTTTTTTTAATTTAAAGGAATTTAAAGAATTTAAAGTAATTTCAGATAATTATGGGGAATTTTAAGGAATTTTAGTGAATTTAGAGGAATTTTAGGGAATTTTAGGGAATTTTAATGGTGGTTTAACCATCAACAATTGGAATTTCATGGTTATGTTAATGGTGATGTTAATGGCATCTTAAGGAATTTAGTGAATTTTAGGGAATTTTGAAGAATTTTAGGGAATTTTAGTACATTTTAAGGAGTTGTAGTGAATTTTATTTTTTTCTAGGAATTTTAAGGAATTTTATGGTATTTTAGGGAATTTTAGGTAATTTTAGGGAATTTTCATGGTGGTTTAACCATCAACAATTTCATGGAATCTTAGGGAATTTTAGGGAATTTTTAATGGTGGTTTAACATCAACAATTTGTATTTCATGGTGATGTTAATTGCATTTTTAGGATTTTTTTTGAATTTTAGGAAATTTAGGGAATTTTAGAGAATGTTAGGGAATCTTACGGAATTTTAGGTAATTTTGAAGAATTTTAGGGAATTATTTGGGGGAATCTTAAGGAATTTTGATGAACTTTCAGGAATTTTAGGGAATTTTAGGTTTAGGACATTTTGGGTAATTTTGAAGAATTTTAGAGAATTTTGGGAGTTGTGAGGAATTTTAGTGAATTTTAAGGAATTTTAATGGTGGTTTAATCATCAACAATTGGGATTTCATGGTGATCTTAATGGTGATGTTAATGGCATTTTCGTTGTGTTTTCATGATTTTGTGGAATTTAACGGAATTAACATGGCTAGCTGCGGCTGGGAAATCTCCTCTCACTTGGCGTGTGAATGCGGAAATCTGCTATAAACGGGTGATTTTCCAGCAAACCATGTTTGATTGCCGGGAGGTTTCACAATCTATGGGGATGTGTAGCAGATGTGACATGGATAATTTTTTGGAAAATTATCATATATATTTATATATTTATATGAATTGGGAATCTATTCCAGGTGTGATGTGTTAATCATCATCTAACATGGGAATACACTTGACAAATGATGGTTGATAACTCTATGGGAATATCTGGGGATAACAATCGGGGATGCTGTTTTTTATGTGTATTAAATCAAAATAACACCCCAAAGCTAGAATTTGGATTCATTGTTTTTTTTGGTGTACTGTATGCCTGGATTTCATGAGAATTCAGGGGGGGCTTCAAGCTGCACGCGTGTTTTTTGTTGACCATTGGAAGCTGACATGTTAATCCTCGGTATTCAACCCCAGAAATGGGTGATCATGATCTCAGCAACTTCTGGGGGTAAACTATCCAAAAGGCGACTTCAGAATTCTTCGTGGTTGGTGGTTTTTAATGCCCAACTGAGGATGGTTCGCCCGAAAAAAATAGGTTTTCATTGCACATGTCTGTGTTCAACCTGTAAAAATGGGGTCTTCACTAAAAACATGCTGATGTTTCATGCAGAAATGTGGTGGGTCTTTCACAAGAAGGTCAGCCAATGTCATGTAAAAAACTGGTGTTGAACTTGCAAACAATTGGGCTTCTCCACCCATTAACAAAAACACACAAAACAAGAGACACAAAACCATAGCACCATTGGGATATACCATCTTAAAAAAACTGGATGACCATCTATGCGGGGGTTTCTTAAGCCAGGGGGGATCCCCTGGTCACCATAGGTTTTGCTAAATCATGGTCGTCCATGACCCCCATGACGAAACCTCCATGCCTTACAAGGCGCCCGAGGAGGATGGAAAGACTTCGGATGAGAAGGTAGAGAAGGAGGTGCTCCACAAATGTGGATGGGATAGGTTCTGGTAAACTAACATAGCTATGGAAAATCGCCATTTTAATAGGTAAAACCTCAATAAATGGTCCATTTTTCATAGCAAGGTTAAATTACCAGAGGGTGAACGTTTCCAGGGTCAGGGACCGCAAATCTTGGCAATGTTTTCAATGTTTCAACCTCAACCATCCAATTTCAAGGATGATTTTGACCACCCAAATGAGCAATCTTAAAATTAACACCCTTTTTCGGAATCCACCGGTTTGCTTTAAAGGGGAATCCATCGTTTTAGAGTGTTTTTAAAGGGATCCCCCACAGCATGGAGGACCATCCCCCAAAAGGATCCAAAAGGGGAGTTGCGCCCACAACTTTGATCACTACCCATATGATATATATGTATATATATATATATAACTATAATTGTATATAATTAGTACATAGTGGCATGACTGTTTTGTTCATCATCACCATCATCATCATCATCATCATCATCATTATCATCATACATTTTTACATGGTGAATCATGGTGACATAAAATATACATACACTATTGTTCTATTGCATAGCATTCTTCATGATGCTGTTCCTTAAAGGTAGCCCTAGCCCAAGGCCACTGGGCCACGCCGGAGGTGTCCGATCTCACGGGGGACTATCTCAACATCTCTTTGCTCCTGGTGCTGTATACGCTCCAGGTGCGCAGACTGACCGTGGCTGACGAGTTGCGAACAAACACGGTCGGTGCTTGTTGGGGAGTGATGTTTCGGATGTTGCTTGGAAAGCCTGCATCTATAGTTGTAATACCTTGTAATCACATGTAATCACCTGGTTTCAAAAAAGACTTGACCTAGGCAAATAAGCCAACTTAGCTCACGAGCTCGGAAAACCTTGTAATTAATTTATATTATAGTGTCAACCCCGGATCAATAAACCCTTGGACTTTTTTGTTCAGAGGGGGTAGAGTTTGAACAGTATATACTATCACTATTTCGGGGTACGCCCCACTATGTTCCAGCATATTAAAGAACAGTGATTAATGTCTGTATATACATAAGTTAGATCACATTTATCACCATTATACACCATTTACTCAACATATCTGGGTAAATGATAATTAGTAGGGGAAACAATAAGGAAATTATCCTCCAATGGTCCAATGGCCTTATTTCAGATTAGTGGAAACGCATATAATTTTCCCAGATATATAAGTATAACCCATCAATTCATCGATCCTGTTTTTTCACCCGAGCGTTCGGAAGGGCATTCCCATGGGCCTGTCGGCGGTGTTACCCTTGATTCTGAAGGCAAGGTCAGCTCGCAGAACCAGAGGGATGGGCCATGGAAAAGAGTTGGGGAACTGTATTCCTAGACTTCATTGGAGATGGAAACCTCGAAAAATCGTGGCTTAATGGGATTATAATGGTGATTTTAATGAACAATGGATTGGTTTAAGGGAAAATCTAAACCATTGAATATGCGGGTGTCCTGTAAATTTTCCCGTAAAATGTAAACCAATCCAATAATAGACCCTCCAAGTACCCATCAAACCTGTTATGATATCCAGAAAAAGTGAGTACTTTTCATCGTTTGGGTACTTGATTACTTGGATGGTCTAGGTCTAGGTATATTGGTTCATTTGGCTTTGGATCAATATTTTTGCCTACCATTTTGGATGAACATCCATGTCGCAACTATTTTGTCGCTCAGGAGGAGGACATGGCTTTGACCCATCCTAACTTGATACATGGGGATATAACTTAACATTACATTCACTGACATTAATTGACATAATTTAATCCAGTGAGTAACCCCAACACAATCTAAGTCCGGAAAGAGGTACCTTTCCAGCCTTTCCTGACCCAGAGCGGGCTGGTCGTCTTCTTTTCTTTAGATCTAGAACCATTCAGTTCGGGGAGTGAATCATTCAGCGAAATGAAACGGGGAGATACCGGGAGATATGGGGAAGTTGGAGGCGGAAATGTGTTAAATAGCTAGTGACTTCTAGGAAATGGGTTGATGTTGCGCCATTGGTGGATGAACTGACTGTTACAGGCCGGATTGAAGAACCGGATGGACTTTGGTTAAAGTTGTCGGCTGTTAGCATTCTTTGTGGCGTGTACTGTAAAGCCCGGTGAGGCTGGAAGCCCACAAAGTTGTGACGGGAGTCAAAGCTGCTGTAAAATAGGTTATAATATTGGTATGTCTAACGACTGCGACTACGACTACGACTACGACTACCACTGCCACCACCACCACCACCACCACCACCACCACCACTAGCACTACTAGCACTATTACTACTACTACTACTACTACTACCACTACCACTACCACTACCACTACCACTACCACCACCACCACTACTACTACTACTACTACGACGACGCGCTGACACCATCGTTGGCCCAAGAATTTACAAGATGTTCATGTATCTTGACATCCATATCATGACATGTTGCTCAGCAAAACATGATCATACATCTTCCATCTACATCATACCAAAACAATACCAATAGGAAAACATGGAAACTGCAACCCGTTCAGATATATATCATAACATGAGGAATATGTGTTCTGCTTTCACAACCTGCTAATGAATCATCTTTTCAACACATATCTTAGTATACCGATCGAAACATGTTGATCCGCATCACATTACCATCTACATTGAAACATATCTCACTATAACAATCAAAACATGTTGATTTGCATCACATGATCATCTAAGTTGAAATATTGATCATTATGCTTGGCCGTCCCGCCGTACAATAAAATAGCGGTTCAACAGGGTATGAGGGCGTGGGGGATCCTCTTGGACTGGTACAAGCCAGCCGAGCGAAACCCACTCACTAGCTGTGCTGTAGCTTTGCGCAGAGAGGTGCAGTGGGTGACCGAAAAAAACACACAATGGAAAAACAATAATAGCTACTAGACGAAATAAACTGCATGATTATAAGCTTACCATCCTCCCCCCGACCTTTGAACGATACATATCATTCCCATTTAGGGTGGGGGGGGCGGGGTTGGGGGGAGGTCTCCTGATGGTTCCTCATCATTACATGCCAGATTCTTCCCTATGACATTTGAAAGATACATATTGTTACCATTTAAGGTTGCGGGGGTTGGGGGGTATCCTGATGGTTCCTCATCATTACACGCCAGATTCTTCTCAATGACCTTTGAAAGATACATATCGTTACCATTTAGGGTAGGGGGTGCGGGGAGTATCCTGATGGTTTCTCATCAATACATGATGATGATGATGACGTTGATGATGATGATGATGATGATCATTGCGAGTCCGGGCAAACGATGGCGTCGGACCGTACTAGTACTAGTACTAGTACTAGCACTACTACTACGACGACTACTACCACCACTACTACTACTACTACTACTACTCCTACTCCTACTCCTACTCCTACTCCTACTGCTACTGCTACTGCTACTGCTACTGCTACTGCTACTCCTACTCCTACTCCTACTCCTACTCCTACTATTACTACTCCTATTACTACTACTACTACTACTACTACTACTACTTCTAGTACTTCCAGTACTTCCACTACTTGTACTACTTCTACTTTTACGACGACGACTACTACTACTGCTGCTACTACTACTACTGCTGCTGCTACTACTAGTACTACTACTACTACTACTACTACTACTACTACTACTAGGACTACTACTACTAGGACTACGACGACGACGACTACTACTACTAAGACTACGACGACTACTACTAGTAGCGAATCACTACTGCTATCACTACTGCTACCAGTACTAACCTTTACTACTACTTGCACTACTACATTCACTACTACTATCACCACTACTATCACTACTCCTATCACATATATGTATCACTTGTTAATATCCCCAATGGACTTTCCAGTATGTAGTTCATCTAGACCACCCGGGTTGAGGTGAAGGTTGGTATACATTATTCACTGCATGGACTGGTCAGTCGTTTCAAAAACATATTTTTTTCTTAAACCCAACTGGGGTTGATGAACCATGGTGAACGGCAGTCAATTTTTTATATTTCATGGTATTTCTGCATTGATTGTTGGGATGATCCCTTGACATGTTTTGAGCAATGAACAGATCAACACGTTTCTCCAAGGCTGCCCTGAAAATGTTCCCTCCATTGTGTTGTTTTTTTTTCTAAGTATGGCAGGAGAAGAATGTCTCCTATGCGGACTTGGGAACCTTCTCCCTGAACTCCTATCCCTTCAGTGCCTTAAAACTGGAATTTGTCCCTGGTGACTGGGGTTGTCACCCACCTTTCCATCATCTAAGTTACAACCTGAATCATGGAGAGTTTAAGTGGAAAAAACCCAGTCTGAATCAGAAACTGTTGTTGTTGTTGTTCTTGTTGTTGTTGTTGTTGTTGTTGTTGTTGTTGTTGTAAGTATTAGTCGTATTCCGGAACTGGCCCAGACAGAGTCCACTTGAAGAAATCGGGCACATCACATCACATCACCCATTTCCGCTACACCATAAGAAAAAATCAAGACATCTCAATTCAATTCAAGCATTCTTAAGGATGTTGACTACATGAAACAGGATGGACAGGTAGCTGAATGCCGGTTTGTTGATATCTAATGGTACCTATGGTTTCATACTATACTTGTACGACATGGGACTGCTCCTGAGTGATTGAACAGATTTGGCCAAACACGTACCCCAGTAGACAAAGTATTGGTTTTGAGGGAACATCCTGCCAGAATGTTCCCTTACACCATTTCTGGGAACAAGACATGTTTGCTATTTTTTCTATAATTTTGTGTCAATTCTTCATTTTTGGGCAAAGAGACGAATGGTCCCCTCTGACTTGCGGTGATAAACCTCTCCTTAAGCGAGCGGCGCCTTGCCGGGTTTTTTTTGGTGGCCAGCTACAGCTGGGTCAGCGGCCCTTGTTTTCCAATGCGTAACAATTTCTCCACACCGATTCACGGTTGCGATGGCTCCCTTCAGATCCCTTCACAAATTGGTGTAAAACCCTACCCAATTGTAGATTTATCCCCAATGAATCCAACTCAGCCAACTGGGAACTACGGTTATTCGAAGCAACTTAGCTATGGGGGACCACAATGTGACTCATACCCTTGGTGTAGATCTTCCCAACCTATTCAGGGTCTCGATGTCTCTTGCACAAGGTCTCAAAATCCTCTGGGCGCCCATCGTCGACGCTGCTTACTTCCCCCGCTTCGGAAGGAGGCACTGCCGCCCCCTAGTTTCTTACATAGTCTTAGTGAACTGGAAGCCATGGTCCAGTGAGTTCAATGATGTACCTAATATGTACCTATTAAAAGTATTTACAAGCGTGGTGTTTTGGTTCAGTTGGCAAAGTGTAAAATGTCTAGAGATGTCCTGAGGATATCGCGAGGTTTCCTGGGGGATCCCCTGGCAGGAAAACTTGGCTGATCCCCACTCAGTTGGCCATCGGTGTAGCACCTTGCATCGGTGAGTCTGGTAGCGTGCCCAGTCTCGGGCGAATAGTCATCCATGTTTATACTTGGTGGTTCATCCCACTTAATAAGTGGGTTAAAACATGTTAAAACCTTATAGTTACAAGTGGACTAACCCTCCTTACAGTAGCTCATGTATAACCAGAGTTATAACCAACTTACTAAGGGGGATGAGCCACCCAAGTAGAGATTTCTACGGATTTACCATCCCGTAAACAAACGTGGCTAGCTTAAGAGTTACCGAACTAGCCATGGAGGTTACAGCTCGGAAAATCATCGAACAAAATGAGGGATTTTCATGTTTGATTGCCAGAGGCTTATACACGGTAATTTAACCATACATTTAATTAACCAGAGGGTTATTACATCATTTTCATGATTTTCATTGAACATGGGTAATTAAATGATGTACTGCCCGATATAGACGGGTCTTTGTCCAACAAGAGTTGGGAATTAACTACTCTCAGGGAAGTTTTGATACTGCTACTGCAAGTCACCATGTTCAATGGGTAAATGCTCAAGCAGCTGTGATTTCTGTTGCTCCGTTCCGAGCGTCATTTTGGCCGTCAACTTTTTGCCATGTTTGATTGCTTACCTGATGAGTGAAAGCCGAAAAACACTTGATGAGTAGCTTAACACGTGAACAACCTATTGAACACGATGTTTTCTTTGATTTGAACGACATTTTCAGACACCTCAACTCGTAGGATGTTTGTACTTTCATCGGCGACTTGAAGCCCCACTGGATTTTCGGCCAAGGTAATGGTTGTGCTTTCTGGATCTTTGGATTCTTTGCTTTTTGTGCCGTGGCCTATCGTGGCCTCCTGGGAAATGTCCGTTGTGTTGTTGTGTTGTGAAGGACTGGTGGGTGAAAACCCGCGGAAATATGACCGAGTCATGCGACCGTTTCTCTGAAATTTGATTATACCAAACTATTCCAGATCCCAAATCTCTGAAATTTGGCCAAGCTAGTTTGACATGGTCAAACAAACAATGTTTTTTCTTAATGAATCATGCGTTTCCCCTCTGAACCCACACAGAATCACCATTTTTTTAATCTTCCAACCTCTAAGGGTCCAGGTCAGAATGAAGTGTCAAGGGTAGCCCTGAAGAAATTGGATGCTATTGTATTGCCATTGGAAGTGAAACATGTGAACCTGATTATCCAAGTGATTGCGTGATCTCCCCATGTTCAGGATCATGTATGATATCCACAAATGGAAAGGCATTGTAAAGATGTAATGGTGTTATTGTCAATGCACCTACTGTACACCCATACTTCTTTTATACCAACCAAACATGTATTTAAAAAAAAAAACACTCCTGACAGTACACCTCGCATGAAATCTTCACCGGCCTAAAAAAAGAAAGACATTTCCAGACATTTCCCACGTTGCCAGACATTTCCAGACATGGTCATCGTTGCAAGGTGGAGGAACCGCAGATCAAAAGCCTCACGTGTCTTTTCTTCCTGCTTTACCTCCTTTGTGCCACTCAGGACATCGGACAGTCCGTGAAGGTGGTGAATCTAATTTTGAGTCGAGCGTCAGAATGCGGCAGATATATTTCTGTATGTATGTGTTTATATTATAACTTAAATTATAACTGTATATTATTGTATATTTATTTGTTCATTTATTTATCACATTTATAATAATGTACAGATTATATATACATCTAACTAGAGAGAGAGAGAATCATAGTGACGACTTAAGACATTGCAGAGACGAGCGTTTTTCCTTTGGCCCGTGATGTCCAGAGACGGAGCTCACCTTCAGCTGGTTGGCGCCAGGACATCGCAGTTGACGGTTGGGCCCTAGCAATCCTCCGCAAAGAGAATGTGAGCTATGCAGCAACTTGGCGCCGGTCACATTTGGCTCGGCTAAACACCTGGGTCCTGGGTCCTGGGCAAGCTCCGGTAACATTGTGCCAAGGCGCAAGACGGCAATTGGAAATATCTCATAAATGGTCATTCAAGTGGCACATTTATCTATAAGTATCTATACATTCATGAGGTAAGTTTGCATTGCCATCTTTGATGACCGGGGTAATGGGTCAAATGTTTGCTGTGGATGAGGGAAAATGATACCCACCTGAAAGTTTCACTTTTTGCTGCTATTGGTCGACAGGGTAAGTTCTCCAGCATTAGCCGTGATTTGGCAGAGGCGTTGTAAACCCACAAACCCCGCAAAAATGAGTAGATAATGGTCAGAACGTGGCATATGTTAATTAATTTTCTATTTTCCCATTGTTTGAAACGACCATACCCCATATACAATGATTTGACATGATTTGACTGGCGCATATAAGATATATACACAGCACAGGTCAACTCGGTTGCTGCTTGGTATCATCCCCAGTTTAGTTGGTTATATATATATATATATCCCCGTTTATATCCCTATGTTACCCCTATTGCTATGGATTTTTCAACCACGAACCAATATATATATATGATTTCGATCCAAGAATGGGACAAACAAAACCATATGGAAACCTAATCAGCGGGATTTACATGGAGAGTACCCCTTTTGATGCGACCCATTTTATTCATTCGATCATCGCCAGTCCATGCTGAGGCCACGTGCAATGCCATTGGTCAGACGCTGGGATATGCCGCTTGGTAGCGACATGGAAGTGACAACCGAGTGATCTTTGGACAATCTTAACACGGGTTTATGTGAAAATTTGGTACCCCTGAATCCAATAGTTAATTCTCATCATTTCTCAGGAAAACATGTGATAAAATGGTGCACACTTATAGTAGATATACCCACGGAAGAATTTCGCAGATTGGTTCACATTTGGATCCAGGCAGATTGTTCGCAGTTGATGCATTGTTCCTGCCATGGCAGTAGGTTCCTACTGCCATGTCTTGACGGGTTGAAAAACCATTCGTTGTCCTTGGTGACACGCCATTGTGATTGTGAGTATCATTGATGAATTGAAAATTAATAGGGGGATGGGTCAAAACCATTCAAAACCTATTAAATTTCATATATTATTTCCATATTTGGGGGAATAAGCATTCATTTACCAGCTATTTTGAGGTACCTAGGGTACCAGGGTTTTGACCCATAGTCCTTTGGCCCGAGGCTTTCCAGAAGTAGGACTGTTGCGACAGACTTTCGGGCCCTGGTAGTTTTCCCCATGGATGTTCATTTGGATGATGCTCCCACTTTGGGAATCCCATTCACTGGCTTAATGCAGGTTGCCATCTTTGACCAGGAACAAAGGTGCCATGTTTTGAGATCCTCCATCGAAGGCAGAACCATGTTCCTTGAGGGAAAGCTGACATCTCATGACACAGTAGTCCTGATAGTTGCAGCCGAAGTGATCTCCACAGCCAAGATCCCGACCATCCGTGCAGTGGAAACCACAAAAATTTCCCCCAAACCGAACATTTGCCTGCAGAATTTGTCTCAGGTAGTAGAGGTATGCTCAGGTATGGGTTGTCTTGGTGTCGGTCTTGCAGCAGCAGGTTTCGATGTGAAAGTCCGCTCAGATGTCAATGACCGAATGCTCCATCTAGCCTCCAAGTTAGGAGATGGGGTCACCCTCAAAGGTGATGTTTGTACAGATCAGTTGCTAGCTGACCTCAGCCAGTCGTTCAGTGGTGCCCAGACACTCGCAGCAGGAGTCGCTTGTCAACCGTACAGTCGACTAGGTGATCAGAGACACCAGCACGACCCCCGATCCCAAACACTTCCAGGGGTACTCCGTTTAGGTTTCTTAGGAGTCTACGGAATGATAGTTTTGGAATGTGTCCAAGAAGCCTTTTCTTGCGCATGGGTACAACAACTGTTGCAAAGGTTCTCCACACAGACGGGCTACAAAGTGACACAAGGAGTGTTGAGCCTCCAACACCTTTGGCCAGCCCGAAGGACCAGGTGGTGGTGTATCCTCACACACCCAACACTCGGCCAAGTTCCATGGGAGCCACTGCCCAGGTTGAATCCAGTCCCAATTGTTGCAGATTTACTTGACAAGTTTCAGATTTGCGATGAAGAAACCTACAATCAACTCCTGTTGGATTTGTATGAGTTGGGGCGTTTTGATGCACAAGGATTTGAACACAACGAAGTGCCATGGCAGGGTCAAATGGCCACCAGTCTTCACTCATGTGGGAACCAGCTCATGGGTTGTCCGTGCGGCTGCAGGCAGTACGCATTCACTGACCAGCGACTTCAACAAGGAGGACTTCATGGGCTCTTGATCAAACTGGAGGGCACTTCACGTTGTGGCCAAAAAATCTACCCCAATCACCGCCATATCTCACCTGATGAATTGGCTCTGCTAAATGGGATGTTCCCAGGCATTCAATGGGGAGTTCATGCAAGGATGGCATTATGTGCACTTGGACAAATGGCTTCCCCCATTCACTCGTGTTGGGTAGGCTCACTCATGATGAAGCATCTCCATCAACATTTCGGTTTGCCCAAGGCATTCACTCCCAAAGAAGAGCTCTGCCAGCTGATATGCCGGCTACTTCAAGCAAGGGATTCAGTTTTTGGGTTGCAACACGGCCCCAATTGCAAAGCATTCCAATCCAGGATTGAACGGGAGTTGCTTGACCCACCATGTTCAGGCAAACCAGAATTTTTCACTGATGGACATACACATGCCATGCCATTTCCAACCGCAGCACCAACGGCTGAGGTGAGCAGTCCCACTGTCCCTACTGAACGGCCAGGGACAAGAGACGAACCAACAGGCAAGGGAGTTCCACACCTGCAGCCGCCAACGATTGAATCCAAACCCGGATGGCCACCAGCGCCACAGTGTACAGTAGAGGTAGAAGAAAACACAGCCAATCATGTCAACATGCCAGTGCCTGCCGATTTGCATCCGCCCATATCAGCATCCGAGCCCAGATGGCCACCAGTGCCACCGTGTACTGTAGAGCCAGCAGGGAACACAGCCAACCAGATCAAAGGGCATCCAGCCCCAGTGCATTCACAATTGTTTGGGTCAGCATCCGAGCCCGGTCGGCCACCCGAGCCACCGTGTACCGTAGGACAGGCAGGGATTTCAATGAACATGATGCCAGACAGAGCCAATGCATGCATCGGCTCTTCAATGCTTGACCATGACCAGGAGACTCCTCCTCTGACACAGCGTGTGGGAGAAGCAACAACAGCAAGCACAGCAGGTGGAAGCATTGCAGAGCAACACAAGGAATCCGAGCCAGGTAGATCACATGCCTTAGCACGCCCTGTAGAGTTGCATGATCCCGGAATGCTGGCCACTCCGGGCCAACATAATGCCAGCTTTACAGCCCATGCCCAAGGGACCCTGCAGAAATCAAATGCCAGTTTCCTTGGTCAAGTGAGTGCAACAGATGCCAAGACAGACAACCGAGATCTGTCTCAGCCACCTTACACCACCTATCCAAAGGATGCAGATCACACAGCTCATGCCAACTCAACCGAGTCACAGAGCCAACCAAGTATGCATGAAGGATATATCAGCAGAACACGAAGCTTGGCCCTACCCGGAATGCTGGCAACTCCGGGAGAACATAATGCCAGTCTGACCAAAGCCACTTTGGCAAATGCAGATCAAATCAAGCCTGCAGATCACACCAATGAAAGTATCACCAAGTTCACCTTCACCTACCCCGGAATGCTGGCAACTCCGGGACAACATAATGCCAGCCCAGCCTTGCCAGGAGATGTAGCCCAGCAGAAAGCCATTTTGGCTCCAGAGGCACCCGCCCGAGGCACTCAGCACATGCCCACTGGAGACACCAGTGGATCAACCAACCAACCCGGAATGCTGGCCACTCCGGGACAACATAATGCCAGCCCAACTTTGCCTTGTGAAGCAGCACACCAGAAGGCCATTTTGGCACATGGAGCAGCCACCGGAAGTGCACATTCCCAGACAGAAGGACACAACAACGAGCCAACCAACAAACCCGGAATGCTGGCAACTCCGGGTCAACATAATGCCAGCCAGAGACATCCCGGCAGCATCTGTCACCAGAGCCTTCAAGTCAGCCATGACCCTCACAGCACAGGAGGCACACATCACCACCCACCGGCACTCACAACAGGTGGAGTCATGGGTTTTGAAACATGCAAGGGGAAATCACAAACTGCTGAAGACCAGGATCTCCAGCGCAAAAGGACCAAGCCCTATCACCAACCACCCCAGAGTGGCATTGCCAAGGAAGGGGATCAGCCAGATCTCATTGCAGCTGCAGATCAACACCACGAAGGCCAACAGCACGCCAACACACACCCTGATGAACAACAAACAGATGCAAACACAGCCGATCAACAGATCCAAGTTTGGATCATCCATGAGCAAGAGTCAGCACCGAAAGCAGTGACAGTCCAACGAGGAACAACAGCTGGCCAAATCACGCAAGCCGAAGCAAAACTAAATGCTATGATTCAGCCCATTGCAGTGCGGTCTTGGGTCAATTCCGTTGTGCCATTATATGAACCAGTGCATGACAAGCAGTTCATCAAACTATGTCAGAACATGGACATGCCGCGATGCCCTTTCCTGTCAGGCAAGTGTACAGCACCTGAGATCGAGTTTCCTTGCCCCAGAATTCATGCACTTTGGGCCCAGCAAGCGTTTGTGGCAATTGATGAAATGGACTTTTACCTTCAAGTAGCAGCCCGAGATGCGAAGGTGATTGCATTCCCAGCGAAGCACTTTCCATCCGAAGCAGCTGTGACCACGGAGAGCCAAGAATGGTTAGGCCCGGCAATCCAAGCCTTGGACCAACACACCACATGGGTCTCAGCAGCAATTGTCAATCACCATTGGATTCCCATCATGTTCAGTCGGACACATGACACCATCATTGTCACCACGACCCCTGCAGGATCCATTTTGCTTGACCAAATAGCGCATGAAGCACACCTTCAAGGGTTTGCACTTGAAGTGACACAGAAGATTTTGCCACAGAGTTTTGCAGCTGATTGCGGATTCCAGTCTTTTGCATGGATCAATCATGGCCAAACTAGGCCAAGATGCACAAGAAGCCCTCACAGCAGAAAAAGCGGTAGGTTGGAGGTTTTTGTTTGCAGCATCTTTGCTAGCTCACAACCAATACCTGGAGATCATCCACGATCTACCACTTGGAGGCACTCTCCATGATCCGGAAGTAGCGAGAGATCTCAGCCAGCTGTTAGCTGAACACGGAGTCATGCATGACAGAATCCAAGATCGAGTTGACACCATCATGAACAGGATTCCAGTTGGCACACTGAGGGCGGTACTCACATCCAAGAAAGCATGGGCTGACCTGAAACATGCAGCCAACCAAACAAAACCAATTAACCCAGCTTTGCAACCCAACAGCATACCTGAATCTTCCACCTACGTCTTTTTTCAGACCCTGTGCCAAAGTCCTGTTTTTTCAGTACCCAGAAAACTTTTCAGGACCTACTCTCAAATTCAGGACCTGGCCATTTTGGGGTATCAATGGTAATGGCAATCATTGGGTGCAAACATGTGAAACCAACATTTGGTGGATATTCAAGCCATTGGCATTGATCCACGCAAATAAAAGCACTCCCAGCCCAAACTCATGGCAAGGCAGGATCAGAATATAGTATATTCCAGAAAGTATGTCAGAATAGATGCCAGATAGGATGCCAGAAAG